GTAAAATATAAATACTTAGATGGCAAAAGTGCCCCGGAGTTACTTAAAATTAGGATTGTTTCATAGAGATTTAAAACCAAATAATTTTGAAATAGGTAAAGATAGCAAATTAATTTCATATATTTTGAAATCTCAGAATAAATTGAACAGAAATAACGAAACAAAAAGTAAGGACCATATATGGCCCGAAAAATTCTGGAAAGTAAAGAATATGACTTCTTCTAAGATGTTTATTAGTTGGAAAATAATGAAAGAACTATCTGAAATTAGCAATATAATTGATTTCAAAATAAGAGCAAATTAAGATTTTAAAATAAAGGCAAATTTGAATTAGAAATAACTAGGAGTATTGATGTAGTAATGAATAGGTAAGAGAAAAACTTAAAGATAAATTAGATTTGTGATGCTTGATATTAATTTCATTGTAAAAATAGAGCTATTTTCAATCTCGATCTTATTTGATTGAGAAATTTAAAGTACTTTGATAAGATTCTTCATCTATCCAGAGGAGTTTAAATAGTTTAGTAAAATTTTTCTTTCGTTTATAATAACCTGAAGAAATGTATAAACTTCAATGTAGTTTTATCCTAAAGTTTTTCAAGACCTAAAAATTCTAAGTACTGAATCCTTTTATGAGGGATAATTAGTCAATTTGATTTTATTATGTTAATCTTGAACCTGAATTTTATTAGTTTCAAGAAATTGCTAGGTCCCCCAATAAGCTAAATTTCTTTAATGTTTTGCAGTATCTTTAGTAGTGATTACCTATTAATTGATTCAGATATGTCAAATAAGAAGGGAACCCCAGTCCATTTTGGAATTGAATCTTCTCCTTATTTACTCATAGTATATCCTCTGATATATTTCCTTATTATTTTTTTCTGGAGAAAAGATAAGTCTTACCAACCAACCATTTGTAGATTAAGTCTCATGCTAAAAGCAAAATCAAATCATAAAATTTAATTAAAATCAATTGTCACAACTTCTGATTATTGTGTATATTAATTAGTTTCATTTTCAGACTTTTAATTTAGCGTGAGCTACCAAATTGATCTTAAACAAAAAGCATTTATTGGTTATTTTTCTTAAAAGAGAGCGTTATTTATTTATAATATTCTCTCAATACTTATCTTAATGACAAATGTTAGCCTTGTTATTTTCATTTTTTCTACCTTAAAGTTCAATTGAACAAAATTTTCCTTAATAAAGATTCTAAATTAACTGGAGCTCCCCCTCAAATTCAATTATGCAAACACTCTTTCAATTGAAACACTTTATCAGATTATTTTTGAGCTAAATNAGGTTATTAAATATTTTAATCAAGAGAAAAAAATTTTATTGGGATGTATTTAAGCAATCATACTATCTACAGGCATAATTATAGAATTAATTTTGATCTGTAAGGGATTGGTATTAAAAATTAATTCGATGTGCAAAAGAAATTCATTAACTTAGAAAAGCCCATTATTTATATGAATATTATGAAATAATAAATTAAGTCAAAGTTTATAAAATCTAAAAGATATTAATATTTCGTCATAATCTGTCTGATAAGGTTTTAAATAATCGAAATTAAATTAGCCAATAAATCTTAACGCTTTCTTCAAATTATTGATTTTTAATTGACATCTAATTAAAATAAAAAATTAGAACACTTAGCATTTCCTTTAAAAATTATTAGTTCATCTTGCTAATTTTATTACAATAACTAGAGACATATATTGATATATTCATTCATCAAACAAAAACGAAGATCTTTCAATATTATTTTGTAAGTTTAGTTGAAATAGTTATAAAATGCTTTTTTAGATAAATATGGTGAAAAGATATTACCTAAAAGCATTAATTATCTTTAAAAGTAAAAATATATATCCTCTTTTATTTAGTTCTTTGTCCAAAAAAAAATCAGGATTTTTAATGCAAAACAATATTAATTAATATGAAATATCTGTTTCAACAATAGTAACAATGAAGATGGAAAAAGTGATTTTTTTAATCTTAAAGCAGTTATTATGTGAAAATACTTATAATTTGAATGAGCGTTGAGATAGAAAAGAGAAGTTTATTTTCAATAGTTAGTTATGAATAGCTTCTAGATCAAATTTTTCTACTATTAATAATCTTATTAATTAATCTAAGAAGAAAATTTTAATTGATTTTATATGAGTTATCCGATTATCGGATAACTTTGATGCAATTAAATGGAAAGAGACAAGTTTTCGAATTTTACTTCCTCAATTGAATTAATTGATTATCTCCTTAGTAATCTTCCTCATTCCTTTCGAATATAAAACAATTTGTAAGCTAATACTAATATCTTATTTTAGGTTGTATTTTTTGAACCTCACAGGCTATTCCTTCTAAATTTAATTTAAAATAGTGAAATCCTAAAATTATGAGAAAGTGTAGCATGTTCTTTATTTTTGATTAACTATTGATAGTTTATTAACAATTATAAAATAAAAGTGCTAACTTTAAAGCGATAGCATAAAAATATTTTATGGTGGTATGGGAACAAGATTACTTCAAGAAAAAAGATATTATACTTAAAATTATTTAACATTCAATATTCCTTTAACTAAATAAAAGAGCACGTGAGTTTTAATATTAAATTATTAAAATCTCCTTCAGATTTCATAACTCATAAATAATGATAATCCTAAATAAACTAGATTCTTCTCTCTCATAGTCTCATAAATTCCAGATTTAGTAATGACATTTACGAAAGAGAAAGTGGTAACCAAAGCAGAAACAATTATTGGCTCAAAATTATGCAAGAGGTCTCTCTTAGGCTGTATTAGATCAATTTGACTACATGATTAAGAATGAATTGTTGGTTATTTTCATTTTATTAATATATTACGATCTAAGTGATTCAATTGTTGTAATTAAAAGTATTTTGACAAATCATGAGAAAAAATTGAAAGTTCTCAAAAAAATCATCATGATTTCAGGACTTGTTTCCTAATTTCCAAATGATTTAAGAAATCTATTGAATGTGAATCTTTGCCTAAACAGCTTCCATTTTAATTTAACATAGCTGATCAAAAGCATTTTAATTCGATTCTCCTTTTTAATTGTTCTGATTTTGGATGAATAATTAGTCTTTTCCAAAAATTGCTTGGACTCTAAACCAAGATTAATCTATATACAGAAAGTAAAGCGGTAATAATTTTAATGAAATTCTTTTAAATTATGTAATTTACTCACCTCTTACCTCGTGACATAAATTAAATTCTAAAAATCTCCCTCCTATTTATTCAAAAAATTGATGTTGGTAAATATGCCTTCGCTTTGTTCTAAACCTTCTAAGAACTCAAGCTTCGGAGAAAGGATCTTAGGTGATGAAGAGAGGTCAAAAAATTCCCTATCCTTGATGACCTCAAGGTATCCTTAACTTTCTGTCATTTCAACAAGTGGAAAGGACCTATATTGTGTTCTCGAACAAATTATTGACTTAATAACTTATACAATGTCAACATTAGGTTGCCTAATGAAAACAAAATAATGACCAAATTAAGATAATAGCGAGTTTTTGTCTCATTTAAGACTTACTTTTTTATTTTTTCACAATTATAATGGCTTAAATTAAATTTCAAAAAATAGATTGGTGGTCAATTCTAAATGTCTTAAAGAGGCTTTAAGGGAAAAGCCTTAATTTATTCAGCAATCTGAAAACTCTAAAAGATAAAGCTGAGGATTTATAAAGCACTCTTTTTGTAAATTTCTTCAATTAATGCAAAGATCAATACTTGACTATTTGAGCAAAGCTCAGAAATTTCTTATTTAGATTAAAACAATTTATAATGATTGGAGAGAATAATAAATTAACTATAATTATATTGAACATGAAATGAATTAATACCATATTCAGTATATAAATTATATATTATAATAATAAAAAGCATTTTAATAAAATTGGTACAGATATAATAATTATATTAAAAATGAGTAATAACTATGAAATGCCCAAATCCAGAGCATACTAATAAGTATGCTTTGATGAATCTTGTAAAGAATAGAAATTGTATTGTCATGAATGTATCAAAATTGGAATCCATGTATCTCATCCTCAATATTAAGAAGAGTTGCCATATTTATTTGAACATATTGAAAGAGTTGAAAAAGAGTGTGATGATTTAATTAATTCGATGAAACCTAGATCCCTTTAACTGGATCTATGACGATACTATAAAAACTATTTTGGTAAGGGTAATGAAGTATCTATTATTATTAATTATGCTAAACTTTTAAGTTAATTCATCGAATGAGCATTAATAGAATGTTGGGGATAGAGAATATGCAGATAAGAAGCAAGAGAAAATCTCAAGAAACATTTTGCAAAAAATTAAATTAGAATTGCTATTAAACATAATCTTTAGAATTAATATAAAATTCAAAACACTCATGTATATTTATTTTATGCATAAATATAAATACAATTTCAGGCTTAAATTTATTAATTATATCATTTATCATAAGATGAATAATCTTTTTAATTTAGATGATAAGAAGTGATCAATTATCATATCCAATCTATCAAATTTACTTTTTTTTATTTTACTGGAATAACATTTGATAATTAAAACCTATATTGAGATATATGCATTAAAGTTATCGATTTTAAACCAAACAATAATAACTTAAAATTTGTACATTTAAATTTCATTTAGGATATGAAAACGAAATATGCTTTTGAAGTTACAATTCATTAGAGCTAGAGAATAATAGGAAAAAGAGAGAAACTAACTATCTACTAAATCATTTAATCAAAATAATTGGAGGAAATAATGATAATATTTGATTTTTATTATAAATAGAAAGTATATAAATAATTGTTTATGATTAATAAATTAATTGAAAGTAATAGAGAATGAATAATAACATTGGAATAACAGGTGATGCTTATCAATAAAAGATTATCAAATGTTTTGAAGATATCTAAATTAAGTAGAAGTAATATTTGTGATTAATCAATTTATTAGTCTTCATTCAACAAAATGGATTGTTATTTAGATTCACTTCTAAATGATACTTCTGATTCTTTATGTGTTAATACCTTTTAAAAACAACAATATATACCCATATTTAACACTCCTTCAATTAAATTTGAGAATTCAAACTTTGGTTAATAATTTTGTTAAGAAATATAATCAAATGAAACTAATCAATTAAATGTGAAACAGTTCATTTATCAATTAATCCCACAATATTCAATTTCATAAACTGAACACTGTTATGTAATAGCTATTAATAAAGACTGTTCAACTTTATTGGCTGGATGAGATAAACAAATAAAGGTATTTGAATTCAAGTAAGGAATGACCAAACAAACTTAAATTTTAAGTGAACATAAGGGTGATGTATGCACTCTAAACTTCATGAAGAAATCAAATTAGTTTATATCTGGAAGTTCTGATTTTATCATTATTTGGTAATAAAATTAAAATAATTAATGGATTTCCTAAAACAAATTAAATGGACATACTAATAATATCTTATGTCTAATATTAAATAACAATGAAGATTTAATTGTATCAGGAAGTAGTGATATTACAATTAAAATTTGGATGAAAAAGAATGAATGGTAGTGTTAGTAAACAATTAAAGATCATTCTCATTGGGTATAGAGTTTGAGTTTCAATTTATAGTAAAATAGAGTTGTATCTTGTGGTTATGATAAATTAATATTAATAATGGAACAATAAGGACAGAATAAAGAATGGATTGTAATATAAAAGATTACAGTTGAATAAATTGCATTTCGAGTATGCTTTATTGATAATAATATGTTCACATTATCAGAACATGGCAAAGAATAGATATCTATTTTTGAGATGAATAGTATAAATCAATAGTTTACAAAGACTACAGATATTCATGTACAATGTGGATCAGATCTGCATTGTTTATTTGCTTAATAATATATAAATTAAAAATGTATCCTTGTGAGTAAGAATGGCGAATATGTCAATTTGATAAGGAAAACATTAAATGGACAGTTTGTAACTCAATAATCTATTCATTTTAATACAAATAAATTATTTGGAGGAATGAGTGATAATGGAGAGTATTTGATCACTTGGGATGATAAATCAAAATAAATATAAATCAGAGGATATTAAGAATTATGAAAATTATTACATTTAATTTAAGTATAATTTATAATTTTAAAAACAAAATTAATTAGATTTCTTTTTAAGTTATATGGTTTAAAAGTTATTTATAGAATTCTATATGATTTTATATTTATTGAGATTTTGGTTTTAAACTTAATTTTAACTATTTTGATTGGTCGATTAATATAAAACGTTTGTTTAAATACTTATTTTATCAATAGCCAATATCACCCAATTCATAGTGAATTTCAATATTTTCATTAAGATAATTATTTTAGGGAACATTTTAGAAACCAGCTACGATTTTAAAAGATAAGAGTTTGGAAATAATAGTAATTTAACATTTAATAAAGTAATTCTATCCTGAAAAGAATAATTTATCTGATAGTAATCAGAATACCAGTATTCATATGTGAAACAAAAATTTCCAGAAAATATGATTAGTATCAATAAATACAAATGATTAATTATTTTCTG